TTTTTCAACTTTTAGTTAATTTGAGTTCTTTCTTATTTCTTCTCCTTACATATTTGTTTTAATCTTTCCATGATAATTGCTCTTAAACCTGTATTTGTGTTTACTAGTGTGATGGAAGAGTAATTTCATAGATATCAATATGAATTAAATCCCGCAAAGCGATGATGTAACATTTTCTATTTTAATATAATTTGGAACCTTATTTCTTACCTTCTCAATTTTTTCATAAATGCTTTTAATTTAGTCTCGAATCACGTCGATATGGTTTCAAATAGTTCACACATGTTGAATTTATTATTCGTGTGATCTTGAAATGTTTGTTCGCATAATTTGAACTTTCGAGATCGAATTGAGAAGAATCATATTAAATTGATCAAAGAAACCTATTTAATGATCATTCAAGGAATTTAGATTAAAAACGTGTGTTCTTTAATTTAAATTCAAAAAATTGGATTAAGATTGATTTCAGACCCAAATCTGTTTTGTAGAGTAGAAATTCTAGGTCCATCACTTTTGGTTTCTTGCATTTCTGTGTTTTAATTTCTTAATTACATTTTTGGTTGCATTCAAAATCTCTCCAATTTTCTATGTTTTATTTTTAGCATTTGTAACTAAAGCTCTCAAAAGAAGGATCCAAGTTTGTCTTGTAGTTTACTATATTTAAATTGATTTTTATTTGATAAAAAATGACATCAATCAAATTGACACCATTGTTGCGGAACATTGATTCTATAGCTGAATTTGAATCATGGTTTGTTAATTAATTAAGGTTAGTTTGAAGTGTGTAATTATAATTAGATTTGAATTTATTAGTTTCATTTTTAAATAAATAGAATTAGGATTATGATTTAATTAGATTTGATAGTTTGTTTTGCTTTTTAAAAAATTAATTTAAAATTTAAATTATGATTAAGATTTGATTAGATTAGATAAAGTTTGTTTTGCTAAAAAAATAATATAAAATTTAAGTTAAAAAAATAAATTTTTTAAAAAAATTTAAAATTTGTTTGCGAATTGATTGCATTTCCCATTATAGTTGTATAACTTGTTTCGATAAAAAAAAAAAAAAAACAAACTTGTTAGGTGCTATCTTCCTCTATTTTGATAGGTTTTGACACTCTTTGGCTTATTGCAACACTCGCGACTCCACGATTTGCATTTCATATAGTTTAAAGACAGTGTGATTTGATTTAATATTTTTGATGTCATGAGACATTTTAATGAAGATCATTCTATTTTTTACATTGATTGATATTGTTCATGATATCTTTTGTGAGTTTATTAATGATGATTTAATTGTATCAGATAGTTTTATTGATTATTTTACCTTTATACATACATTGATTCTTATATATATTGTATATGTGTTGATATTGAGTTGTTGTTTTTATTGATTCTTTTACCTTTATACATATATTGATTCTTATATATATTGTATATGTGTTGATATTGAATTGTTGTTTGGGATAAAGAAAATTTTTCTAAGTTATAAAATCATAGTGGAAGAAATCATATTTTGAGGAGTTTTTGGAGGGTCAGAGAAAGAGCTTCATCCTTTATTAATAAGTAGGTACGAACTTAAGAAGTTTAGGAGTTTTTTGAAAAGGCTGTATTTTGAGTTGTTTTAGAGATTTTTGTTATACCCAAATTTCTCTCAAAATTGCTTGAAAGAATTATTCTAAGTCCACAAAATTGAAGGCTTTTTTCGAGAAGTTTTTGAAGCTCTTATAGGCATTGGACTGAGTATATCTAAAACTGGTCGAAAAACTGACCAGAAAATTGTGCTAAGTTCACAAAGACCAAAGGTCGTTTGAGGAGTTTTTAAGGATTTTTGAAGTTCTAGACCTTCTCTAGAATTGCTCGAAAAAATAGAAAGTAGTCAGAAAATATTCCAAGTCCACAAACCTGACCGAGCTCCATATTCCCTTAAGAATTGTTCGAAAAATAGGAATGAGCAGAGGAAATATTCTAAGTCTATGAGATTAAAAAGAGCTCTCAGACAACCCAAAATTAGTCGAAAAATAGAAATTGAGGGGGAAATGGTTCTAAGTATATAATACTAAATGAGTCTCTCAGATTTCTTTCAGATCTGCTCGAAAAATAGAAACAAAAAGAAAAGATTCTAAGTCTATAAGAGTCATGATAGGACTCAAGTTGTTACAAGGCTCAGAAGCGGTTATCAACAGTTACCACTAGACGAAAATGCAACAACACAAAGAAGGATCGTGGACAATAGCAGTTATGAAAGAAACCATAACTGACCGCACAATCAGAGCCAGTCGTGGGTAATGAGCAATAGTTGAAGCAGTTACCAAGAAGTGCCCGCAAAAAAAGGAGAACGGTGGTGGTTTCCCTTGCCTATAAATACTTCAAAGCTTCACTTTCTAAGAGGATGACTTTTTGCACCCAGACACTACACCTAGAAGTCTTTGCATGTTGAAACCCTGCACTGCCTTAGACATCAACTACCAGGAAACTTATGGTGATTGCTGTTCATCATTGTGAGGAGTCGTATGTTTATGTTCCTGCACATTTATGTTTTTGCATTTTAATTTCAGTTCCGTTTGCTTATTTCTTTATATGCAATTTAGTTCTTGTTTGGTATGTTTCTATAAAAACCTCTATGTTTGTTTCAGTTTCATATATTTACTATTCACCATTCCTACTAAATTGTTTATTGTGCGACATCCATTTTACTGTTACGTTAACAACATACTTAAAAGAATCTAAGAAGACCTAAATCCAGTCCTCAGATTGCTCTTGGATTATTTATTTACAAATTATCATTTTTCACCGTAAACAGTTGTATCTACACTAGGATGATGTTTTAGCTATCAATATTCTAATTATAGGTATTTCTAACGTTGTAAATGTCAAATGTGCAGGTGTTGATTAGATTAATGTACATGCTATTGTTGCCCTTTCTTTATAGGTCAAGGTTGCTTTCATTGCATTTCTTAGTATAGAGTGCAAAAAATAGTAAGGTAATAATTATATTATTACTCATTTTAATTTATCATTAATCATAGTAGACATTAGAAAGGTGTTAACCTAATCTTCTTATCATCCTTACTATTAACAAATATGTAAGTTAAAAGTTTGTCCAAAATCATGCCTTTTTGAGTTCCAAATAAGATAAATGACTTACATCCATTATACTAAATTTTAAAGTTCTTTTATCATAGTTAAAGCAGCAAAAAAAGGTAATAATTGATATACCAACCATATTTGTTTTCTTTTTTATTTGGAGAAAAAAATAACTTTCTTCCAATTGATGAATTTTGAAGGACTTTATCGAGATCATTTTTGTTTGTGCAAATTTGGTCTTCCTTTCATTTGAAGGTTGGCTTTTTTATTTTTAAAGGTTTTTCAATTAGTTATTGGAGAATTTTGTAGAGTGGTGAATAAAATGAAGACAACAAGAAGGATTTATTGCATATGAGTTTCTTTAAATACATGATTTCCACTCTCGTCATGGTTAAGCTTTTGCATTGAAAATTTAATCCAAGACACTTCCTCTGCCTAACCTTTAACAAATTGCTAGAAGAGTATTATAAACATTATCTAATAATCTTTTTTCCACACCTTTAGTGACTAAAATTTATTAAAAATTATAAAATTATGAGAAAATAATTAAATTAAGAGTAAAAGAAAATGAGATTCACATGATTGTGTAGTAAAAGAATATGTTACTAAAATTTTTCATATATGCAAATATGTTTTGATAAATAAATTATTTAGGGTGTTTCGTATGGAAGCTTCTAGCTTGTTTTTCTAATGAAAAAAGAATAATGCTAGAACAACTGTTAACAGAGTAAAGCGATAAGTATAGATTTTCTAGTATGCACCTCTAGCCATTAACAAAAAAATAAGCCTTATTAATGAATATCTAAAATAAAAAATAAATAAAACAATATATAAAATCTTAAGTCCTTAAAAGTGAAAATATGGTTAAAGGATAAAAAACAGTACTTAAATAGAAAAGAATTTATTTGTGTTTAATTTTTTTTTACCATTAAATTTTTAAACTTATTGAAAGAAGTAGCGGCTGTTACTTCCGATAACTTACTTTGTTTGAATAAAGGGTAGGAACTCAACAAAACCACCTTACAACAGTGTGAGAAATGAATGCAAGAAAGAAAAAAGAGGAGGGAGAGTGGACAACAATTCTTTTAAAAATATTAAAATAATATAAAAATTATAAAAAATAAAAGTAATTTTTATTAAAAAATATTTAAATAAAAAAATTAAATTTTTTAAACTCAATTTCAAATTTTAATACAACTTAATTATTTTTATACTTTTTTATTCATCAAAACAAATAAAATAGTTTTTTTGTTCTTTTATTTTTTTAAACTCATCCAAACATCAAATATTTCTTTAATTTGCTGTTGGCATGAAGTACCATGGTGATAGATTATTATGTAAGACTCAATTAATTGTACCAGACCCCACCCTTATTCACCATAGCTCAAGTGATTTGAAAATGGGTCTGCATACATGAGATGAATAGTTCTCACATAGGAAACATGCAGTCATGCAGCTCACAATTATTTTAATTTCTCTTGGTGTTTGTATTCTTGAATTAACATAAAAGTTTTATTGTTATCAATATTTTAATTTGTTTAATCAGTAGTGTCTGTATTTCTTGAGTTGTAGTTATTCTCTTTAACCTTGTTACAGTGACTTTATGAAACTCTCCCTTTCTTATTGTTGTTTGGGTATTCTATTTGGAGATTTTAACTGAAACAAATCAAGCAAGAATTAAATTGGATTGGAAACTAAAACTAGGGAATAACTCTCAATCTAATATTGTCACATATTTCGATAAAAAAAATTAATTTAAATTTGATGTCAAGCTAAAATAATTGAAAAAAGAAATTATTCTCAGAACAAGTTAATATAACTATGTGATTTTTTTTCCTAAATTTAAAAAAATACAATAATTAATTTAAAAAACTTTATTTAATGTAGTATTTTACTCTTTTTCCTTTATATTTATATTTTTGACATTCAAGGATGAGAGAACAGTATGTAACTATACAACACCCAGAAAGAGAGTAATGGAAAGCGTTGTGAAATTTGAGGACCCCTCTTTTTCCGGTTCCATGGGCGAATTCTGAAACCCTAATTCCGATTGAAACGAAATCCTTAAGCCCCAAATTCGTTGACTCCTTGTATGCGATACCGATGGCTTCGTCGTCGAGTAGCGGATTGACGTTCAAGCTGCACCCTCTGGTAATCGTGAACATCTCGGACCATTACACGAGGGTGAAGTCTCAGATGAACCCAACTCTCGCACCGCACAACACCGCCCCCAATGGCGGCGACGGCGTCGTTTCTTCCCTTCCTCCGAGGGTTTATGGCTGTGTCATAGGGGTGCAGAAGGGTCGCACCGTCGAGATCTTCAACAGCTTCGAACTCCTCTATGATCCTTCTACCCATTCCCTCGATCGTTCCTTCCTCGAGAAGAAGCAAGAGCTCTGTTCAGTATTCCTTCCTCTCTTTTTCTTTTAATTTTAATTATTATGCTATGTTTAATTGGAGTATTTTTTTTTTATGGGTTGGAAAACGACCTTGATCTAACACCGTTGTTGTTTGATATATAATTTTTTTTGCGACGTTAATTTCTCAAATTCCGTTTTAGAAAATAAGCGTACATACATTTTTTATTTTGAGGTTTTGGTTTTTGATTGGAAGTTGAATTATTCAGATAAGAAGGTTTTCCCACATTTCTACATACTGGGATGGTATTCAACTGGAAGTGATGCGCAGGAATCAGATATGCATATTCACAAAGCTGTAAGTTTGCATTATTGCAATCTGTCTTAATTTTTAGCACGCCCATTATTGGTAGGTTAGTACAACTTTGATACTTGAAGATAATTTTATTTGGAGACATGCTTTAAAGAAGTAATTTGAGGATACGTTAAGGTAGAATTCAGCTGAAAAAGAAAGCTAGAATAATATGGGCCAAGGGCGAAGCAATTGAAATTTATTTGGGGTGAAAAATATTGTCACAAAATAATGAAAATATAAAATTAATATGGCTTTTGACATCTAAGTTCTCCATTCCTCACTATGGGGAAATCAGTCCACAGTCAGCTCTTTCTGCCTCCACTGTGGCCATGATAATGCTTTCCACCTGTTGTTTATTTTTTTATTCTATTGCTACTTTTTTCTTACTTAGCTAAGCTTTGGGATTATCTTTCTTGATCTGTGCATTAGCCCCTTGGTAGTTGCTTTTCTGCTTTGGTTTATGGCTCTATGCTGTATGACTGCCATGTTTCTGCCATGTGGGAGCTTTATTCTATCTAAGTTTATCTTTGACTCTCTATCTTTACCTGGCCTTCTAACTAATTTGCAATTGATAGTGTTAACTTTTTGGGCATTTCATAACTGTCTATCATCCCTTCAACCTTGCAATGCCCTTTGCATGATTGAAATATCTGTCTCCTCCTTGGGTTTTTAGTGTCTTCTTTAGTATAACCATTGATTTTGGCCATACTCCTTTTCTTTTTATTGATTTTCTTCTCACTTCTTGGAGCAGAATTCACCATAGGTCATCCATATGTTCTGATGTGCCTTGCCAAATTTTTCCAGATTTCTATGTAATATCTCTGAAAAAAAAAAAAACTTTGGTGTCTGATATTAATTGGAAATGGTTTTGGAATGTGAGGTTGTTTAGACTTCTACTCTTGACAAGAGTAGGAGGTAGCTCTAAGTATACTTTAATTTTTAATAGAACAGCATAATTTTTATGGAAAAATTCATTGAAAGCTGAACAAAAATGGTTATTTAGTGTGAAAATTTTATAAATTGTAGCCAGATGTGAACTGGTTGATGCTTGCCCATTACTGACCATTAGCCCCACTGTGATATTCATTATTCTGAACAGCAACATATGAAAAGTTTCTGACAGCTGATAATTGAAAAGCAAAAAACTTTGTTATTTTCAGCTGTATAGCTTATAATATAAGTGATGAGGAAATAGATGATCACGTGTTTATTCATTTTCTAGGCTACTGCCTTTGGCACCTGTTCTTAGTATTTTTGGTTCCTATGTATTTCATCTGAAAAATGTAAAGGGCTTAAGTTATATAATCGTAACACCTATTAGTTTTCCTTGTATATTTTCTACGGTGTTGTTGTCATGCTCTATGGTCTGTTGTAAGACCTTACTGCACACTGTCATTACTGAGTGTCATTGAATCTAGTTTCCTTTTATGCTTGTCTATTTTCAAAAGGTTAATGACTTCCTGGTCTAGATTTAGATTTACATAATTTACATTTTTATGCTTTTGTTCATTCTGATTCTATCGGATACTCTGCTGTTACAGTTGATGGATATCAACGAAAGTCCAGTTTATGTTCTTCTCAATCCTTCTATCAATCATTCTCAAAAGGATCTCCCAGTCAGTATTTATGAAAGTGGTATGTTATCTCCATCATTGTTATTTAGTGTGTTTATTCTTTAAATCGCTGTTGCAAAAAGGAAAAAACATCAAGAAGGAAACTAGTTCAGTTACTTGTATTGCATTTCTATTCTTTTATTTTTCAAAATATATTTTGATGAAAAGAAGAAATTTTATTGGAGTTAGAGGTACAAAAGATTGGAGGATAAGAAATCATCAACAAAAGTAGTACAGAAGGATAAACAAGAGCCAGTGAAGTAGTGCATGGAGACAAAGTGCTGAACATACTGAAATCCTGAAAATCATTCTAACCCTGAAAATAATTTTATCCTAAAAAAAAAATCAGAGGTGAGAACACACCTTGATGGTACAGGCATTCCTTTCCAACCATATAAAGCTAAAGAATCTAATAAACATCACATTTCCACAAGATTTTACTTTTCTTCTCACCAAACCCTTGAAAACAAATTTGTAGGAACTGATCCTGCAAACTAGGACAAAGTGACTAATCCAATGCTTACCAAAATACGAAATATTTTTCCAAAGGAATTGCACAGCTGTGCAATGGAGAAATAAACAAAGCACAGTTTCAGACTTGCACACATCTCGGGAGGGGCATCTATTTGAGGCCATCTAACCTAGAATAAATCATTTGTATTCCTATTGTGTAAATGTTAGGTGCCTGTTAGTATTATATATCTGCTAACATTTGTTAGCAGTGTTGTCAAGATCACCATCTTATTCCCAAGATCTTCGATCTTTCCCCCAACATGTGATCTTGATTGGAAACAAGAATGGAACTTGTTAGGATTGCGTTAGAGCACGATCTTTCTCCTTTGGATCGCAAGAGCAATGGTCCTAAAAGGTTCACAGTTCACACCCTTGCCCACTACTAACAGAAAACCAAAACTGATTACTTTCTCTGCACTTCCCCCAATGTTATCAATGGTGGATGGCAGGTCATGGCGGAAAGCAAAAAAACTGCCATATAATTATGGCAGATGCCATGGCAGGTTATGGCGGAATAATGGCGGTCATATGTATATATATATATATATATATATATATATTGCAAAATGTGATATAAAACTAGAAAACTAACTACATATAAAAGAAGGAAGGTTTTGAGAAAAAAAGAATAAAATGGTTCTACAATATTGAAAATGGACGTTGGAAAACAGGGCCTTCCACTCACAGTTGCCGGAAAGCAGCCGGAAAGGATGCTTTCTCCAGCGAAAATGGTGAAGGAGATGAAGGAGAAGTTGGCTTTAGAGAGGAAGAAAAACAGTGCAGAGAGAACCCTAAATATTTTATCCTTCAGAAAATTTACCACTTGAGAAGAGAAGGTAAAAATTTTAAGTGGAAAAAGTCTATTTTGCCCTTAAAAAACCCTAAAATACATAAAGCAAGGACAAGATTGGAATTTCGCTCTCTTTCTCCATTACACTTCAAAAGTGCACACCCACACCAAGACACTACAATTAGGGCTTAACCTCTGCGAAGAAATACTTCACAGCAAGCATCACATGGCGGACTGTCCCTCCCCAGTGGCACAGTAGCCCACTGCCGCTCCACAGCGGCACAACAGTGATGAAGAAAGGAAGAAAATATGTGATTTAGGGTTTGGGCTCACGGATTTTCCTTTTGGAGCAGGTCCAATCAATGGCCCAACTCAACTTTTCTTGCAAAAACGCCATTTTTCTACATTTTCCGCCATGGCCGCTGTTACTGCCATGTGCATAATAGCCGCCACGGTGCCGCCATTGGAAAACACCAAAAAACGGTAACGCTGTAACGGCAGGGTCAAAAGCTGCCACCAAATTCTGCCATGGCCGCCATTTAACAACACTGCCTTCCCCACTATATGAAACATTACATGTCAATTGCTCTCTCCTAACTGGCTTCCCTCTCTAATTCCCAGTCTGCCCCTTCTTATTTCTCCTGCTATGCGTTTTCCAGACCCAAGGCCCATGACTGAGTTGAATTGGACTTGTCAATTCAGGTTTGTAGGACCGGACACAGACATTTTGCTACATAGTAGAAATAGAATCATCATTATTGATCCATAACAGGACAGTTGTAGTAGACTAATTTTCCAAATTGCATTTTTCTTTCATTTACATTTGAACTTTTTGCTTTTCTGTTCTTTCAATGGCAGGGCTCTGTTTTGTTTTATTGGTATATATTTTGGTCAACTTTTTGTTGTCTTTATGCGTGCTTATTTTACTGAGAAATTAATTGTTACTGTGGTGCTGCCTGTTTCAACTACAGAACTGCATGTCATAGATGGAATTCCACAGCTTATCTTTGTTCGCTCTAGCTATACTATTGAGGTTGGATTTTATGATTGCTGTTATCCTTTTTCACTCTAAATCACTGTTCCTTGATAAATTGATTGACTTGGATTCCCTTCCCTCTCCCTCCTCTTGAATTGTTGAAGACTGTTGAAGCAGAACGGATATCAGTTGATCATGTTGCTCATCTTAAGCCATCTGATGGTGGTTCAGCTGCTACACAATGTGAGTGTTTCTCGACTCTTCTTTTTCCATTATGGCCTTCATTAAGCCTATTTTTGGGCCAGGAAGATTTGGTTTCTGATTTTTTTGTTATGTACTTATTCTTAGGTTGTATTATTCTATTGAATTTTCCATAGCTTGTCACATCGCAAGTTTGGATAATAGGGGAGTAGTCTTGGGCAGTTAATAGCCAACATGAAATTCTTTTGAATCTGATATGACAATGTTCAACTAAGACCAGTGAAGGTTTCAGTAAGAAAAGTGGCTTAAATTTGAAGGTAATCAAATTAAAAGGGGTAGAGGAATATCTTCCTAAATTTAGTTTCTGTTGAGAGTCCAATGGTGTTGATACATGTACTCAACCTAGTGGGATAAGCTTTGGTTTTTCTAAGTTGTATCTAATAAACTGTTTTTCTTTTTGCAGTGGCTGCTCACCTTACTGGTATACACAGTGCCATCAAAATGCTTCATAGCAGAATAAAAGTGCTTCATCACTATCTTCTTGCAATGCAAAAAGGTATGAGGGTATACTTTGTACAAAACTAGCATTTAACAATTAGATATTATTTGTTATTAGAAAGCTTTCTTCTTATAAAAAAATATTTCTCTTTTGATCTGTGAACTCCTCAATCCTTTCAAGTTGCTAATTCTTTGCTAATACAGGGTTTAAAAAGCTGAATAAATAAAAGTGTGAATAAAATATATATGTGATACTTAAGTGTTTGACTAAGTTTCAAATTTATATTTGTCTATCATTGCAAAGTGGTTCCTTGCAAATAAAATCTTCAACATGTAATTATTAGCTCAACTAGTTTGGCATCAGATTCTGATAGAACTAACATATATCTTTATACTTGTCTTTCAGTTTTATCAAACTAGTTTCTCAGTTTTGATAAACCCTATTTTGGTATGAATCAATGAATAATGAGCATTCCATGAATTTTATAAGCTTTGGAATAAGCTCTTTTATGAGACAGCTATTTTGTGGAAGTATGTTTCTCAAAAGATACTCGTTTTAACTTATGAGAAATGGACCAAAACTTCTATTTTTTTAATATGAAAATCTTAACCAATTATCTTAAGAATTTTTAGACATTGTTTTTTAGTCATAAATCCAGTTGCATCTGTAAGGCATGGTGTTAAGTCTTTATATTAATATTTCATTAATCACAGTTTTAAAACATTATGATAGGTGCTCAATGATTCTGTGAGCAGTATTTCCATATTGCTTCAACCATAGATCGTACAGTGTTTGTATTTTAAAACTCCAATTAATAATATCAACCTTACTTTTTAAAAGCAGGTGATGTTCCTTGTGAAAATTCACTATTAAGACAAGTATCAAGTCTCCTGAGAAGACTGCCTGCTATTGAATCTGGGAAATTTCAAGATGATTTCTTAATGGTAAGTATGTTCCATTTTGAAATTTTGACAAGGTGGCATGTAACGGGGAAGGAGGGTCAATAAATTGGATCCACTTGTGTATGGTTTCTGTACATTCTTATTTGAAAGTATTTGTGCACCTGTTATGAAATATGATGGATAACCTTCTTTGAGCTAGACTGTGGGGTTATGGGTTCCTAAATCCTAATTATAAAAACATATATTTTCAAAAAAGGAAAGCTATGTGGATACACATTTGTATTTATATTAAATACATTACTATCAGTACAATATATTATAGATGATATAAATATCCTTTGCACATTAATCACATGCATAATAGACTTAGCACTTCTCTTCAAGGTGGATTGCAAATTTTAATTATGCCCAACTTCTTGTAAAAATAAAACCTAATCAAGTGCCTCTGTGAGGATGTTAGTTATTTGTTCTATGGTTCTAACATGTTGGGTGGATAGAAGCCCTTTCATCAATTGGCTTCAAGGTAGTGTGAATGGCAACTTGATCAAAGCTTCATAGGTCTCTGGTATTTGATATATCAAAATCCGTTGACACCAGATGTCAAACTTGAACACTTATACTTTTGAGTTTCTTATCAAGTAAACTTTTTAAAATTTTATACAGAAATAAAATTAAATAATTACTTCAATGCATTGTATTATTTTAGCAAGTAATATATTTTTAAAATATAAGTGGATATCTAATTTTAGATAACATTTATTAATGTTCAAAGTATGTGAAATTTGATATACATGATCTAAAGATAATATAAGATGATTCAATTGTTAGATTGATGAATCTTGTACTTTATTTAAAGTTATTAAATAGTATAAGTGTTCAAATTATCAGGTGGTGTCAAACTTTATAGAATTCGTATTGTTTTATTTTAACACGTAATAAATATATTTTTTAAAATATAAGTAAATATCAAATTTTAAATGACATATCTATAAATGTTCTAATTATGTAAAATATGATACATATGATCATGAAGCTAGTATAAGATGATTCAATGGTTAAATTGATCAATCTTACATTTTATATAAAGTTATTAAGTAGTGTAATTATTCAAGTTTGACACTTGGTGTTAACAGATCCTAACTTATATATGTGTGTGTGTGTGTAATGTGTATATATAGTTTGTATCTTTTATTTGAATTTAGTGTTTTCCTTCAATTTTGAGCAAATACTTTAAAGGGTAGGTTTTCATTTGAATTTTGTTTGAAGGAAGCTGCTGAATTCTGCAATACAAAATATGTTATTACCAATTATTATTATGTAGTTTGTAGTGAACATAAACCACCATGGGAATCTCCTTGAATCAGCAATAGAAGTCAAGATAACTATAGCTACTCCTCTATGGGCCAAAGCCAAGTACTACTTTACTTAACCTCCAAAACCGTGTTTGAGGTGATTGTGTCAATGTGTAATAGTTTGAACCAACAGATGGTCTCATTCTTCAGATAATAAAACTCATTGGTTGGTCCATTTCCTGGTAAATCAGAATGGAGAAAAGGTATTCTTAAGATCAAGTTGTTGCAATGCCCAATAAAAAGCTGTTAATTGACAAGATGAAAGAAAAGAACTTGGCCACTGGAGTAAGGACTAAAGTAGTGAACACCACGAGTCTGAGCATAATCATTGGTAACTTGTTGAGCCCTTGTAGACAACCAATTGTCCCATCCAATTCACCTTAAGGTTGCATTTGATTGTCACATTTGAACATGGGCTTGAAAAAGTGGTACAACTTGGTCCCACTAAAAAGTGTGGAATCAAGTGGAACAGAACAAAATCATTCTACTAATTATTTCTGATTGAAAAAAAATACCATCAGATTGTATATTGCCTCTTCAATGCTTGATGACGGAGATGTGATGTAGGTTCTCTCTTCAATATCAAATTGATATTTGTCTTGTTTAGGATTTGAGATAATACCTTGCAGTAACTGCATTTAAGATTTGATTAGGTTCTCCGCTTGATATTTGTTCATGTTGTATCCAATTACTAATTATTGTCTGAAGAGTAGACTAGAAACCATCTCCTACATGCATAAAACATCCCTCTGTATTCAAAGTGACAAAGGTGCATAGTAGTCAATCTTGGATAGTGGTGCGGAGTGGCCAACCCCCAAACAATAGTGGATAGCAGTCCCAAATATAGATTATGATACAGATATATGCTGAAGGTTTCAAATTTCAATCATTTGGAGGAGTTCTCAGAAGTTAGCGCAGAACAAAGAAGAAAAATAGAATAAAACAAAGTGGTCTCACTGGAAAAAGCCCCTAATGCAGATGGTCTCACCAGAAAATGTGTGGGTCTTGCTGGAAATGAAGATGCTAGAAGGCTGAATATAGTGAACAGAGTTAGATTTTGGTTGGACAGTAGCCCCTAACCCGAATGGGTCACATCAACAATGAGTAGGTCTCGCTCAAGATGAAGTAGATGACCGGAAAAGGATGTCGGCCACTATAAAGCTTGCTGGATGAAGCATAAGTTGCCAAAGATGGTGAATGGGAGCACTTAGGGTTCAGGAGTACTGAGTTTGAATGACACAACATGCAGAAATTGACAATGTAAAAGGGGAGAAAAATCCCAAAATTGCTCCCCTTAAAGCCTCTAATGTTAAGAAAACAAGGGTAAATTTGTCATTTTATCATGCATCAATTAGCAGCCACGACGGCTGCAATTTTCTGTGATTTTGACCGTGATTTGTGTTGCCTCTGCTACACATAACCGTGATGCTATGCACTTAGAATAGTGCCAGGGAGCTGCTCCACCGCAATTGAGCCTGCTATGGTTGCTATTGACTACTATGCAAAGATGTTAGAATAATTTAATTTTCAATTCATAGAATTTGGATGAAATCTCAAGTACTTGTTAATAAGCAATAGACAGGATTTTGTTCATGTTTTTAGTCATAATTAGTTTGGCAAAAGAACTAATTATGTTGGAATTATGGGTTTTTAGGTATAGAGGGAGAGAATAGGGTGAATAGAGATGCTGGATAGTACGTGCTTGTGTATTGTGTTGTATTGCTAGTGTAGAAAAAACCATGTAATGGCATTTTTTTTATCAATTGTTATTGTTAAGATGTCCCACATTGGTTAGGAATAGAGTTAAAATATTCCTTATAAGGACTCAGGCTGTCCTCCTCTTATGAGCTAGCTTTTAGGAGTAAATTAGGCTCAAGTTTCTTAACATGATATTTTGAATGTTGGGCTGTTCACATATGTTCAGTCCTGTAAATATCACTAAGTGTGAAGGAGGTGTGTTAAGATGTCTTACATTTGGTCAGGAAGAGAGTCAGAATACTTTTTATATAGGTTAGGGCAGTCCTCCGCTTATGAGCTAGTTTTTGAGAGTGAGTTAGACCTAAGTTTCTTATCGGTTACAGTTAAGATATGTGGATGTTTTATTTACCCTTTAACGTTCAAACTTTATTTCTGAAGTGTTAGTATGCCCCTCATTTGCTTTTGTAGGTATCTCATTTTTTTTTCCTCATTTTGCATTAGGTGCATGACTACCTTTTGTATTTTGTATTGTACATGGGGTTCACCCAGTGGTGATGCATCCTTGATCTTGAGGGTAGTTTAATGTTTGTTTTCTAATTTTCACGTGAATTTCTTTTCTTTTGTATTTTGTTTTCAAAAATCAATTTGGTCCTCACATAAAACTATCCCTATTTTTGCCCATCGTTTCTAAGAGTCTAGCTCTACCCTTGGATTTGCCTTCATGCCAGTTTCTTTAAGTGAAAACTGTTAGCTGTTAAGGAAAAATTTTCTTTGCTTAATTGCCAGTATCATAGTTCTATCTGACATTTATGCTAAAATTGAAATGCTGCTTCTGCTTTTTAATTTTTGTCTGGGCCCAAGTCAATATACAATGTTGATGACTGCTGTCATTAACTATTACTACAAAAGTGGGGAACGGAAAGAGAAGGGTATCCCGGCAAATATGTATCTTGTAGGTCATTTGGTGACAGGTTTCAAGCTGGGTAGGTAGCATTAATGTTTCATGCAATCTTGACTATTGACAGCTAAATACCATTTTGGTGAGATTGTGTTATTATTTTGGTGCCCTGACTGTTGGTTGTTTCAGCCTCAGGTTTCTGTTATTGGTGTGTTTGGTTTAGCATATTTTGAAGAAATCATTGCTTATTTTGGCTAGCTTCCTGAGACCACTTTTGAAAAATAAGCAAATATTTCTTAAAAAATAATCATTTCCAAACATGCACCTGATATACAGAGATCTTCTAGGGGTGATTTATGCTGTGTTTTTTAGCTGCTGGTTAGTGTTCCTTTTCAGCTTTTATTTGTAGGATTTCTGTTTGACGCCAATATGTTCTTTGTCATTTTATTATTAGTACCTTTTTTGATGTATTCTTTTATCTAAATGAAAAACAAATGTGGGGAAAGCTAGTAATGAGAGGGTTCAGTGGTGACACAATTTTTGAGATGGATATCATATCTGACTGGTAATAAATATGTAAAATGTTGCCAAATATAATCATTCATTGGTCTATAAGAATGCATTAGTTTAGGAACTTTTTCATGTGTCCGTCAAATTATTCATTGTAATTGTGCTAGCTGATTTGGTGAAATGAATTAGACAGCTGTACAATGATAGGATTCTTTGCACAAGGAAATTTCATATTCTTGTTAAATAATGATATCAAAGTTGGTTAAGGTTTGGTGTTGCTGCAATATGATATCCGAGTTGTGTTGTGAGCTTAATATAACAATTATGCAATATAAAAGCCCATGTAAACTTTTGTTTAAATTACATTATCTTTTTTCCCGTGTAGGAGTACAATGACACCTTATTGATTAGTTACCTTGCCATGCTGACCAACTGCTCAAGGTATGACTTGTTATTTTTGTCTTTGTCCATTTTTATTTTTAGGTTATGTAGTTTTAGTTCACATTTATTTTCTTTTATAGCCAAAAAACTCGAAGTGTTATTTTAACTACCTAGAAAATCTGTGTGGTGGGACTGTTTTGATAGTTATATCTAATGAAGCAAATTGTTAGAAATAACATTACTAGGTTGCAGTAAGTTTTCTCTTCCTTTTTTTTTTCTGCTTGTCTTTCCTTATACCTGCACAATTCACAAGGACAATCAAAGCTGCTTCTGTTTGAGGTGGTTGCTAGGGGAGGAAGTTTGAGTCATTTGAGTAGGGTCTTCAGTTGTATATAAAGGGAGTATGTCATTATGCTCAATGTTGTGTTGTACATTTGTGAAGGCCAATCAACTGTAAATCCTCGCTCCTAGTCTTTCTCATGTCCTTTTTGATCCCTGTCTTTACGATCTTAGGTACTTTCTTCACTTTTTTCTATGTAAAAGTCATTGCAGCCTTCTCCTTAATGATCTTAATTACTTCACTTTTTCCATATAGAAAAAATTGTTGACTGGCTGAATGTCTCCAGATAGTCATATTATCCCCATATGTCTCCCAAGATGAGTAAATATATCCTTTTAGAATTTAGATGCTCTCATGTTGAGTAACATGATGTAGTCATATTAGAGAGAGAGGCGGTTTTCATTAACTTTAATTAGTGAGATTTACAACCAATCAAAGTGGGTTTCTGATGAAAATTGTCTCTCTCTCCAACATGACTATATCATGTTACTTATCAACATAAGAAGGATCCAAATTCATATTTTGAAGACAAGAAATGTGAACGCTTTCAGTTCATAATTATAACCTTGAATCCATGTGTTAATAATAAATGTTTTTTTCTTTTGTCTGTGTAGTGCAATGAATGAACTGGTGGACAAATTTAATACCGCGTATGATAGGCATAGCAGAAGGGGTGGACGAACCGCTTTTATGTAAAAGCTGCTTGATTGCTCATTTCTGGCGAACATCCTTGAAGCACTTTTCCAACATTGTAGGCGTAGATTTTTTGTTTCCGCTTTGATGGTTAGGCACAGGTTATTAAAACTTAGTATTGCTTGGATTTGAAGAGGTTAGGGAGAGAAAAGAAAAGGGTAGTCACCATATTACCATGTCCCCTCCAACGAAAAGAATTATAGAAGTATTTGTTTTTGCATTTCTGTAACAAGTTTGCAAAGTAGAGGGGACAAAAGAGTTCAAGACATGATATGAATTTTCACTGTGATTCTTTGTTGAGTCACCATCCTGCCTCATTTTCGTGCTCTATGTCCAAATTCTTTTGCATGTCTTGGCAGAAACAGGATATTTACTCGGTTAAGTGGAACATACGGTGGAATAGCTAATGTTACAGCATGGAGTCAATTTGTAGTTATTTTGGTAAACTGCTGATAGTCATTTTGCTTTGGTCATTAAATGGAAAGTGCTTGTCTTGAGAATTTGACATCGGTGTGCACTAGCTCATGGAAAATGGTTTTAAAATTCAAAGTAATAATTATTTCATTGATAAGATTAAAAAAAATTTCTGACTCAACATTTTCTCACTTCTCCCGTGGTACTGAGTTTTTGATAAACTTCTAAAAAAGCGTTTATTAGAAAGAAAATGAGTAGGTGCAATATTTATTTTTCATAAATTAAAATTAATATATATCTCAAATATTGGGGAGGGATTAAATGTATTATATTAATTTTAATTTATTGTATAATTTTAATTTATTGTTTTATTTCTGTTTCCTACAAGTTTTTGTTAAGAAGTTAATTCAAATCAGGTCACGTTGTTCAAATGGCAGAAGAATTTGTTTACGAGGGAAGAAAAAGGGTTAAAAAGAATTTAATCTTGTTTGAAAGTTGTTTAATTGAAAAAATAAAGTTTTGAAGAGTTTTTTTTAAACTCTCCAAAACTCTTTGAAAGAGAGTTTTTCTATTTTAGTAGTTTTTTCTTCCTCATTCCCATGCTATTTTATGAATAGGATTTTAATTTTTTTTAAATGTTAGTTTTTTAAGTGATATTTAAAAAATAAAATAAAAACATTAATTTTAAAATTATTAAATTTTTAGAAAAAGAAAAATATTTATTTTTTTATTTTTTGTAAAATTAAAAAAATATAAATAAAAAATAAAAAATATAATAATATTATTTATATAATTAAAATTTCTATAACTTTTTCTTCTTAATATTAAATATTAAATGTTTAAGGAAGAAGTTTAACTTTTTTCTTCCTCCTTTTCCCTTTCAAACTTTTTTTTTTTTTTTGTTCTCTCCAAATTCTTAATTATGAAACATGAACAGCCTATTCCTTCTCGATAGTGTGGGTGCGTTTCCCAGGCCTCAACCTGATGTTTTACATGAAAACGTCCTCATGGCCTTGGCAGCAGCACTAGGAAGACGCATCAGGGTCGACCAGAACACCCTCCAAATTCAGAGGGAAGTTTGCGTTTAGATAGATTTGCATAAACCTCTAGTGGGTGCGGTGTGGCTAAGAGGCGATTAGTGTCAGAGTTGAATACGAAGGATTTCACCATATTTGTACTGGCTGTGGATGTTACGGCCATTTAGCAACATCCAAGCAATCCAAGTTTCAACAAGGAAGGAGGCCGGTGGAGAGAAGAATTACATGTAGAGTGGTTGATGGTTCATAGGAGAAAAATTCCACAAAAGTCAAAGGGGAGGACTAATGTAAAGTAATATAACATGACTACTAGGAAAGGAAAGAATCATGCAACGGATCTTATGTCCAAAAGCCATGTCAAACCTAAGCTAATTAATATCTCAGCTGAAGTAGCATATGGGTGGTTGCTGTTATATGATTCGCAGGATCAAAAACATAAACAACTATCTTGGATTTGGAAGCTGAATCCCTCGGAGACAGTGAAGTTCTTGTTTGGAGTGTCACGAATGAGGCCTTGCCAACTAATCATATCCGTGTCATGCACCATGTAGCAACTGAACGAGTTGGATTTGGAGGAGTTGTTCGTAATTCATGGGGACAATGGTACTTCGGCTTGTCTGGGTAAATTGGCAGTGTGACTAATCTTGGTTATCCTTACTGGTCTTCAGATTGCTTGGGACAGAGGATTGGGCAATATAATTTGTCACAATGATTCTTTTCTTGCTATTAATCTTATGCAACGAGGCGTGAAAATACACCATCATTATGCTGTTATTGATAACATCCAATTGCTGCTGAGGAGAAATCGGAACGTTACTATACAATATTGCCATCGTGAATCCAATCAATGCGCATATTGGTTAACAAAGGAAGGAGCAGGCCAGATTGAAGCTATTGGAATCTATTTCCCCTAACTTGAGTCCCACTGTTTTAGCTGATGCTATGGCTGTATAAGTATTTATCTTCGCTAATTGTTGTCCTGTATTGTTGTGAAGCACCAAAAATTTAGGTCATATTTGTAGATGGTAATTCTCTTCATTTTATCTATAAATCTTGAATCAAGTATACTTTCTAAATATGTTGAATGATTTAAAGGCTTGCTTGTTTTGTAATTGATTTTTTTATTAATTTTTTTAGTAAAAATATGTTTAACAAGCACTTAGCCAAGTTTTGGGCTTAAAGGAAAAAAAATTATAGTAATATTTTAAATTTATTTTTAAAAATACTCCTAAATTATTATTTAGAAAAACAAAATCTTTTGGTTTCTTGAACTCTCCTTCTTTTAAACCAACCTTGAGGAGCTAATCTTCAATTTTTCAAAAGCTAGTTTCAAAAATTAACTTTCATTCACCCGATTGGTTGTCCCGTTGATGAGGTTATTGAACAAAAGAGAATTCAAAGTTTTGATATAAGTAACAATTGCACTCAAAAAGTTTGCTTGCACTGATAAATATCTTCACGAGATTCGCTGCAATGCCATTGTAGAAGCAGGTGGTGCAAAGCATTTGATTCAGCCGGTGTACTTTGGAGAGCAAATGATGCCAATCCCTTCTATGACTCTTCTGTGTCACTTGGCGCTGAATGTGCTTAAGAACGAGACTGAAAGATTAGTTTTCTAAATTATAATTAGGAATATTTTTAAAAGAAAATAAATAAATAAAAAGGGTGTGAAAAGTAATAAAGAAGTGCAGAAAGCTATCTCCAAACTTGATTATGATTTGGCAAGTTCATAAGTTTATTGGTTATCTTTTGCTAACCATTTCCTAAGCGAGTGTAAGGATGGGGTTTGAAGCTTAGGCTAACGACGTAGTTGTTAACAAATTGGGGATGATTTACTTTAAATTAAGATAAATTTGTGGGTATGTCAAGATAAATGAATGTATACCCGAAAAAACTAAAAAAAGATATGATAAATGAATACATAGTCAAGACAAAAAAAAAAAAGTCCAGTCACGTGTTCAAGGATAAGGGTGATGTGCTCAATTCATGGAGTATATATATTAAACCAACTTACATTGCAGTTTAAATCACAAATTAACTTGAAGAAATTTAGCTTACATTAGTTCTGATTGATGGTTATGGATCTATATGATTGAGAACTTGGACAAATAAAAATACACATGAACACGATAAATAATATATTTAGTTGGGTGTTTGTACTATTGATTTTAAATCAACTTAATTTTATAGAATTGATTTTAAGTAAACTTTATTCTGTAAAATGGATTTTAGTTAGAAGTGAAGTAATATTTTAAAACCTTTTTCTTACAAGTAAATTGAAGTAAACTTAGTGTAAATTTTTTAATTGAATGCTAACTTGAGTTTGGAGATAAAAGTTGATTTTGATAAAAAAAAAAATTAAATATATTACACGAATTTTAAACTATGTTTGTATATTTAAACATGATTCAGGGATCTTTCAATGCTCATCAAACACACTCTTACAACTTGTTTAGATTTTATGGTAGGCACTGCATACTCATTTGTGAAAACAAGACCTAACACCAATTCATTTATCTTAATATTTGTTGTCCATTTGTTCTAACCATTCCATCTTTATTATTTATTTTTACACCTAACTATTTATAATACGCACTTTACAATATTCTTCTGCAAACTTGATTTTTGGCCAATTTTATGCACTTTCTTCAGCATGCTAACGTCTTAAAATTGAGAAACATGGCCCTTTATTTGTTAGAACCCCTGGTAAGACGTAAAAAAGATTTTTCTTTAAGATTTGCATCATAACGATTAGATTTCAACTATTGTTTTGCGCCATCAAATAAAAGGAAGAATGGCAATGAAAGACCTACTAAACCTCTATTTTCTCAGTAAGTAGTTAAAAAAAATGCTAACCGGTGATTTAAGGCATTGACTAAGGAATTAAAAGTGAAAATTTTCATTAAAGAATGTCATGATTGCATGCACTTTTACTATAACTTTAGTGAAATTCCAAAATTTCTATTATTCTTTAATAAGTGTTGTTAGAATATTATTCTTTAAACAAAGTATTTAAAATTATTTGGTTAGTGGCGAATTACTTAAGTACATGTTTCTCTAATTTTTCTTCCATTTCGTAGAGTGTGGTAAATTCAATTGATTTTCTTTAGGTTGTGGCATTTTAAACTTATTAATCTTCATTTTATTAATTTTTTTCTTTTTATATTCTTAGGAACATCATTTTTTGATGAAGAACAATGATAAGAAATAAATATTTTTGTTAAGAAATAACTAACTTAAATTGTACAAAGAATAAAAAAGTAAATTCAATGAGATCTTGAAAAGTATTCAATGTATTTCTATGTAACCAATGATGTCAGTCCTTCATTCTTCGCCATTCGCTATTTCTTGAGAGATTTTAGATATTTGCTTCGATCATCAATTTGGTTTCCATACATCTTTATTTTTATGCATTTAATGCAAATGGATGTCGAATCTAGTTCTCTCAGAAGAAAAAACTATTTTAAATTCCTAAACATGCAAAATTAGAGATCTGAACATGTTTTTTTTTTTTTTGAACTTTCTATTCTTGTTTTATCTGTTTGACCAAAATGAACATTATTCAACCCAATTTTATATTAAAAAATTTAAAGAAGGAAGAGATTAACAAGTAATTACGAGTATTTATTATCAGTTTCTCACTACAATAACTTGTAGACTTTTTGGGTGCATTTAAAATTTGGATAGATGTGTGTTGGAGAAAGTTTGCAACTTCGTTTGTGCTTAAATGATAAGAAAAAGGATTTACAAAATTAACTGTGTAAAGATTGTAAATTTGCTAGTGAAATTATTTTATGAGTCTGTGGATGTGTGAAAGAAGGGTCAAATCACGTTAAATTTATATATTCTTTTGTTTACTCCTTCTTTACGGGTATTTCTAGGAATTGAGAATGCGAACACTTTATCTCTCTTCCCCTCTCTATCAAAGCTAGATTCTGACCAAAGGATACGGAGGAATAAAAGAGAATTAGCAGTTTGATAAATTTTACGGCCAACGGAGATTATAATAGATCAAAATTATCATACGACTAAGAGAAAAATT